TATATATTTTTTTTTTTTTTACAAGGTTTTTCAGTTTATGACAGACCCCATGCAGTTTGCCTCTGCCTTTGTTCCATTTACTCATTCAGTATAAAGGACTCTGTGAATTCACTCACTGCCCACGTTCGAGTACAAGAATGTGCACTGCTTAAATGGCCGACTGTGTGCTGAGGCCCTGCCTCAGTAATGATGGCTTAGACCTACATAGATTGTTCTGCATGATTATGTAGAGACAACCCCCATTTCGTCTGAAAACAGAAGTTAATTTAACCCCGTCTCTGAGCTGCGTGTTGTGGTCAACCACATCTTTGTCCCCACCGCATGTGTAGGGACTTGTTCAGAACTGAACAAACATGGTTAACAGAAAGTGGAAGAAAATGAATTCAGTTTCAGAACATGTGTGATGTCTGAACATTATTTCCATAAAACAGAAACGGTGAGCATATGAGAAATAGAGGGGGCTATGACATGCAGCACAAATGAATCGATAATGAGTCAGACTATTTGCAACCTGACTAAACAACCTTCAGGACATGATCTCACAATTCTTTTTAAAAGGGCATTGAAAAGCTGGCAAGGATACAACTTAAAGATGAACTCACTGGGAGTTATGTGCCATAAAGAGTGTAGCTTTACTGTTTGCTCCATCACTATACCTATGTAATAAACCTACACAGCATACATACTATAACTTGAAAGATCTGTTACTCATTGCAGTCAACACATATTCAGGTGGTTCACAGATGTTCATTAAAAGATAAATGTAATTTATTCCCCTCTTTTATTCTCTATGCATTTGATGAATTGTGCCACTGAAATAATAATACATTTAAACTTGTGAATCATCAAAGATAACAGTGTAATTAAAAAAAGATTATCTGACAGAGAGAAGAGGTGGGTGGGAGGATATAGTATTAGGGGAGACATGTCAGATCATCTGGCTGTCCTTGCTCTGGGGCAGCAGGGCAGATATGGACCTCTCAGCTTTGTGGTGAGAAGAGAGATTAGGCTGCTTTCCAAGCAGCTGCAGCACCCCATGGAGGATGAAACAAAAAGGTCAAAAAGAGCCCAGAGGTGGAGAAGACTCTCTGGGCTCATCAACACATGTCTCGTTTAATAGAGCCTCACTTTATCTGAATAGTTTATGAGCTTTGAAAACAATGCTAAATGATTATTTCTTCCTGCTGTTTGAACCACAGTGAATGAGTGACAACAAAAGAAAGACCCCAGAACTCTCATGACTGTATGTCTGCTGGAGCACTTCAATCTGTCCAACAGCTGGCTGTCAGTGACCTATGGCCTCAGACACAAACCCACAGGATGGACACAACCACTAATAAATGCTGCTCACATGGTCCTGACCAAATGGCGCAAGGAGCCAGGAGACTATTGATGGAATTTACTTCACCAAACTCACACCCCCTTGTGGTCTAGCATCCTTGCATATTTGACGTGATGATGGTGAGCTCTGCACATATGATAAAAGTCAGCAATGCATATTTGGATTCAGCCTTTGAGGTCATGGATTGGACCACTGTGATGCTTATCAAACTTTTAAATCCAAAGTCCAAAGAAAAGTATCAAAAAGCTCCAAGAAGTGAAGCTCAAGTGTATCTGGTCAAAAAGCCACCCTCAGCCTATTTTAGTGCTGGGTTCAGTCCTCAGGTGCGGCACAGGATCACAGCAGCTAAAATAAATCCTCAAAGGCTCTACTGGTCGAGCATCTTTTTACACTTAGCTCATGGTGTTAGAGCACTGCTTGGAAGAGGTCCACTGCCTTTGAAACACCCCAGAACTGAAATGCTATTAGAGTACAATGTTACATGATTATGTAGAGAACGTTTGCCAAGGCAAGATGTTTAGATTTTAATAACAATATAGTCAAGAGAGCCAAGATGACACCAAGAAAGCTTTTGTCTTTGTTCACCACAGACAGTTCAGTTACTGAAGCAGTTTTGCATGTATTATGAAAGAGGAACTTATATAACTAACTGTATTTTTTTCTCCCAAAATGTCTAGAAATAGTGGTCCATTGTGTTGGTCTGTGTTGTCGAACAGTTCACTGTTGGTAAGCCAGGAATGTGTGCTTGTGTGTGTGTGAGCACAAAAAAAGTTTTATGGCATTGTAACATGGGTGCAAGAGCATGTAGGTCAACTACATGAATCCAGCGTGGCTCCTTGTCAACAGTGATTCCAGTTAATCGACTCAGTGAAACTCACTGTTCTGTTATTGAAGTTGCTGATCGTTACTGAAGGGAGAATGGGCCAGCTACCCCTGTACTTACATCAAAACAGGCAGGACCAGCTACCTTTCACTGTGAAGAAATCTTTAAAACGCCTGCATCTGTCCATTTACTGGCCCAAATCAGAACAATGGAAATAGGTCACTGTTGCCGTTAGTGCAAGTGGCAAGGATGTAAGGACCAGCACTGAGTGGAGAGACGAAGGAAGGATTTGGGCATGAACCAACTCTGGATTATGATGTTTATGCATTTTGATGTCATATTATTTTCATTTCATTGCTGTAATAATAATAATAATAATGAAAAGGCAGTTTTCTTGTGTAATGCATGTTTTCATGTGTTATGTATGTGAGCATGTTTATGTGTCCATCACGTGCATGCCTGTGTGTGGCATGTATGTGATGTCAGCCTGCCCACGGCAGTGCAGTGGAATGGGTCTTACTGAATATAAATCAGGTGACTGAACAGGCGTGGGTTTCTTCCCAGACAGGCTCAGAAGATTGTGTAATTCCTACTCCTACAGTACATTACCAAATGCGTGTGTACACATACACAAATAGGCGCACACACTCAAACAACCCTTTCTGTGCTTGGCAAATAACACAACGAGCACTGAATTTACCAGTCTGCCTTCAGAGAGACCATCCGGGTGGAGCACAAACGCTGAAGTTGACCGAACCCTTTTGGAGCTTTGAAATATTCTGGACAGGAACTTGAATTTCAGCAAAAGATCTTCTTCTTGTTCGATTAGTTTGGCTTTAGCTGGTTTGATTTAAAAACATTTTTGGCAGCATCTTGGACTACAAGGTCATAAATCCTGGACTTTTTCAGACTTTTGTCTTTTATATTCAGTGCTGTGTTGAAATTGTATCCCCCTGTAAATGCTGAAGTTTGTATCTGATACTCAGAAAAAAAGAGGTGAAGTGGTAACCATGTGGATCCCGACACCCAGCATGACTCTTCCTCAGAGGATAGTGCTCTATGGGACATGTGCTGTGGCGTTGATGAACTCTGTGGGCCTTCTTGTACTCTTGGTCCAGCAGAATCAACAACGTGTCCAGCTGGAGCAGACAGAGGTGAGACTGACAGAGGTGGAGCAGAGCTCGGTGGTGGAGTTTCTCCAGGAGGTGCCTAGAGGAGCGGCGGGGATGCAGGCAAGTGTTGGGGAACATACACAATACCAGTATGACCAGTATGAGTACCAATACTCCAGGAACAAGAGGAGTGATGAGCTGCAGAAGGAGCAGGAGGTGCAGGAGCTTCACCAGAAGGAGGAGCAGGAGCACCATCAGCAGGAGGTTAACCAGGAAGCGGGAGAAGAAACAGAGAAGAAGAAGAAGAAACATGAGTGGAAGCACAAGCAAAGACACAGTCAGAATTTCCACAAGGCACATGTGCAGGACGACATGATGATGATGATGACTTACTCCATGGTCCCGGTGAGATGAAATACCTGTTAGTAGACTGTACAGGAGAGAAAGGATGAGGAAAACTACTGCACACAGTGTACTGCAGGTTGATTCAGTCATTGCTGGGTAATGGTGGATCACCAGCCGGTTAAAATAGGCAATGGTCCTGAGGCTTGGGACCATCAGAGCGCCCAAAGGTTCCACGTCTAGTATGTGGTAGTAAAATTCATTTGTTTGTTTGGTAATAGTGTATCCACCGCTAGCACTGTACAAACTGAAATAATAAGGTGACATTATGGTGCCACACAATCTTAACAGCTCTGTGTTGTAGTGAAGCCCAAAATGAATTCTGCAGTATCTTTAGGGTCTTTATATTTTAGTTTATACTGTGATTACAATTTGAATATTCCTAAATAAGATTTTCCTAATCAAATTGGCTGAAATGCAGCATTGCAAAGTACATCTACTATATTTAAATATGTTTTGGAGATACTTGAGTGTTTCCATTCTTTGATACCTATTCAACTCCACTGCATTTCAGAGGAAGTAGTGTATTTTTTTACTTCTCATTTATTTGACAGATATAGTTGCTATTTACTTTGGAAATCAAGATTCTACAAACTAAATAAGATCAGTTCATGACACATCATGTAGGTAAATTAGCTTGACCAGCTTCAATAATAAAACATAGCAAGATTCATCCTTTGATACAATATATATTAAAGTCTTTTACCATGAACATTCAGATGCATGAATATTTTTAATTTTGATGCATTAAAAATACAGTATACTGCTGATAATACTTTTATACTTTTACTGAAGTAACATTAATCTGGCCCTTTTGGTAAAACTTAGCATTTCAATATTTTAATAATATTTTGATATCTTTGCTTTCTCAGATCAAATTATTGATTGACATTTGCAACAGCACCAAAGGAGTCTGCATAGCTGGTATGTCTTGTAAAGTATATACTTAAAACCTGCTAATTATGTCCAAAATATCACTTGTTATTCTCTAACATCCTCAAACCCTTTGTTGCAGGACCCCCAGGACCGCCTGGTAGGATAACCCTTAATTCTGGCTCCAAATTTAAAATGATAGCCATTCTGTGTGTCTCCTTTGTGGTGTGCTGACCCATGTACTTCCTGAATATGTGTTGCACTCAGCCCATTGTGATGATGTTTTGTATTACTCTAGGTTTGCCTGGTGCGGATGGTTTGCCTGGCTACAATGGGACTGATGGCAACCCAGGACTGAATGGACTGCCCGGGGCTGATGGGAAAAGAGGAAAAAAAGGTAAGGAAAAATTGAGGCTCTATTTTGTTTTTTGTTTTTTTTACTCGCCCTCAATATTTTTTGTGTCCTCGAGCAAAACTGACCATTTAAGTGAAGAACTACTGGTACAGTGTAACAGTAAAAGGAGATAGTGTAAGCTAACAGTAAAAATACCACAGTCAAAAGCATGTACACACACACACACACACACACACACACACACAAACTGACTGACACATCTATCTACTATCTATCCATATTGAAACCCACGTCAGATCTGATGGACAATAGGCTGCTTGTAATTCGTCAATGATTGAAGAGGTTGAAAGAAGTGCCCATCTCTAACATTCTCAGCTAATATTATTCATTTCTGTGGTTCCGAGCTTCAGCTGAATGAACCGAAAAAATTGTCTCCCCGTGTTCTCCCACTTCACTCTGTTATCCTCCACAGCCGTCAATATGATTCACCCCAGCAAGTCAATGGAATCATTCATGGTTTTAACAATAGGAACAAGTGTATTGAAGCTATTTATGCAATCTTGGAACTATTTTACATAATGTCCTCCACAGGGCTGCCAGGTGAGAGAGGAGAACCGGGTGAAAAAGGAGAGCCTGGTCCGCCTGGAGAGAAGGGACAACCATCCAATGACATCATTATCGAGGGCAAGTAGAGCGTTACTAATGTTTTCCATTTCCAGTAGAATAATGCTTATGTAGGATAGGAAGGAATACAAATACAGTATCCTTAGCATAATCCTATTTTTGTATAGGTCCTCCTGGTCCACCTGGCCCTCCTGGACCTCCTGGACCTCCGGGCCCTCAGGGGCCTCCCAGAACAAGGCACCACAGGGCCTACTACCCTCAGGCTGCTCAGACTCTGGGTGTGAGATCTTTTTAAGTAACATCAAATGAACTTTGACATTGAAACTTTAGTCTTGACCTTGGGGAAAAAAAGTTGGCAAAACAATATTACCATGAGCTCTGGGAGCATGTTATCACACAATCTTCTGCAGCTGTCCTGAAATTGTAAATATTCAAACTTCCATTTTTCTCTGCACTGATAAGATTGTAGGATCTAAAACAGCTACTGCATGGACCTTGTGGTGAGACTGTGTTGCCAGATATAGTGTGAACACTGAATAACATAGGCCGATATTCTTTCTAACAGGGCTGTTACATGTTCCAAATGATGAAACTTCATCTGTAAAGGAGGCTGTGAAACAACACGAGCGGCCATCTAAGAAAAATGGTGGGTTTTCTGAGAAGATCTAGAGTGCTGACAATATGTGCTGTGTGGTTTAAAAATAAGTATCTAAGCTTGTTATTTTGCTTTCTGCAGAGTGTCTCATTAAGTCACTGATCAATCCCAGGAATGTGACAAAGATGGAGAGCACATTTGGCACATGGATGAAAGACACGGCTCAACTAAATGATGAGCGAATATGGGTGGCAGAACACTTTTCTGGTAGGTTCACTACACAGGACCATCAGCATGGACACTGGTAGAAAATTTATTAATCCTTGTAATTAAAATTCAGTTGAAGCCTTTTATGCCAAAATAACAAAAGCATGTTAGACTACAGGATGTCTAATAAGCTCTACATGGTTTGTTTAGCAGTTAGCTTGTTTTTCCCCAGGTCGTGTGGTGAAGGAGTACAAAGGCATTGCCTCCTTCCAAACCAACAGTAGTGATTCTGTGGATATTAGGAAGTTCTACTACGGCTGTGGCCACACTGTTCACAATGGTTCCTTCTATTATCATATTGCTGGAACGTCCAGCATTGCCAGGTAAGCTGACAGACAGTGGGATGCAGAGATAGATGCTTGGCTATTGTTTCCATTTGGTCCATTCCCTCTGCTTAACAACTTTCTTCTTGCTTGTTCATAGGTTTGACTTTCACACCAAGAAGCTTCTCACGCTGTCTGTAGACAACGCTCTGTACAACAACCTCGCTTACCTGCTCCACAACTCCAAGACCTACTTCAAACTGGCAGCAGATGAGAATGGCTTGTGGCTGATCTTTGCCTCCAGCATAGATGCGAGCATCATAGTGGCCCAGCTGGACCAGAAGACCTTCTCCATCACGTCCTACATAAACACCACCTACCCCCACACCAAGGCTGGCAATGCCTTCATCGCCTGTGGTGTACTATATGTCACTGACACCAAGGACACCAGAGTCACCTATGCTTTTGACCTGCTTAAGGAAAAACCAGTCAATGTAACCTTTGACCTGAGGTCTCCAGATGGAGTGTTGGCAATGCTCTCGTACAGCCCAAAGGACAGACACCTGTATATGTGGGACCACAGCTACGTCAGGCTCTATGTGGTCCACTTTAGCTATGATGAATGAAAACTACAGCAAAAAATGACAGACAACATGTAGATATGCCTGCTGACTACCAACTATTCATTCTTTGGAAATTTGTCATACACTGCCAAGATTTATCCTCTTGTTGCAGCTGGTTGTCAAAAAAGTCAACATTTCACTGAAGAAAATACATTTTGGTCAATGAGTGTCAAAAATAAATACTGCTGTATTGTATTCACAATGTACATGGTGTTACTAATAATGGGAAACATTTTATTTTGTATCAGACAGTTCAGTTTGTAGATACTGAGCTTGGCCTCGTGTCACTGTCTGTGTAGTATATTATCAGATGCATTTGCATGAAAAACATCTTTTGTGTTTTTGTAGTGCATGTTATTCCCCCTGATAGTCTATACATATCGAGAGGCCACCTGCCTTTGTAAAGGAGCCCTGCTCACTTTTTCCCCTTGAGCAAAGAAACAAAAACTGCACCATATCACCCTGATGAAATAAAAAAAGAATTTATTCACTTTACAAAGGTAAAACTCTGACCATGATCTGTTCTCTCACACACCTCCATGCTCAAGTGTACAAGTGTCTACCCATAATATTGGCTTCTTTTGCATTATTACATGCGCGCACACACACACACACACACACACACCAGTTAGACCACTGGTAAAACACATAAGGTTACATACAGTATACACAGTAGACAGAAAGAGAGAGAGAAACACAAATCTGTTTAATACCGTACATACACAACAAAAGTTACAACTAATCCAACTGGTATGATACAAACCAAAAATAAAGAAATGCTTTTATGTTTGTACAAGCTGTTGTGGTTGTTCGCCAAACAAAGCCAGACATTCATTTGTATATAACAGGTTCCTCTTTAATAACCTCTCAGTTTCAAATAAACTTTTAGTGTCTCCAGAATTTGAGTGCAAATATCTATTCCTTACGGGTGAAATGGTAAAAACCTAGCGAGGTAACACACACTTGCATACAACAGACTGTGCTGCACATCTCCCAGTCAGATACAGTAAAATCTCTTACATTCGTAAAATAAAAGGCAATAAGTTAGATAGGAACAACCGAACAAACAATGTAAATAATAAAATTACACAAATTAAAAAAACAAATTCAAGAATATTTTGTGCAAAACAAGATGTGAATCTTTGTGTTTCTTGCTCCAGGTGGATGAGTGTTTTGGTTTGGACCAGACTGATGGAAACACTGAAATCACAATCACAGAAGTAAAACATCATCTTCCAAACAGGAATGTTCTTGCAGTGGGTCTGCCACACAAACAGGCATTTGAGGGCAGGTGTGCAGATGCCAGACACAGCAGAGTGAACACACACTGGGCGCCCAAACCGGGAGAGGCCAGAGTGAGCGACGGGCAGCTAGTGAAACAGGGGTAGGGGGTTTCGCTATCGGAGCAATGCACCATCTAAGTCCTCCATAAGCGCTGGGAAAAGCTGAGCAAAAGGGTGGAAGAGGGTGGGTGGGGTGGGGGTCGGGGGTTAAAACCACTGAAACAAAATGCAGATTCACACTGGAAACCACTGACTTAACAAACAGTGCTGGGTAAAGAAGATGCTAAGAGATTTCAGCTGTGGGCACAAAATGACGACAGTTACACACTTAAAACTTTTGCTTGAGCACTTTTACAGAGCACTATCAATAGACCTGTGATTGCACCGCATAACGAGAACAGGACATGCATAGCTTCTCTATGGACACACTCAGAGTAGAGATTCTTGAATTAAATTACAATAAATCTAGCTTTAAAATCAAGTATGATAAATTTTCCTTCCATCTTTGCTTTCAGCCTTTAGAAAAAAAAACCTATGATGTACTGTAGCTCCATTTGTTATTCTGGATATGATTTACATCAACAAACCCATGAATACTGCACACATCGAAACATGCCAAAAGCACGGTGATCTTTTGACGGAGTCTTGCCTCATTAATTATACTGTTACTGCCTAGCGAGTGTTACATAAGCTTTTTTCTCTCTGTATTTGTCCTCTGGACCCTCAGAAGTGGAAGCAGGCATCACAGAATGTCAACCAAGCTGCTGGGGATATTGTAGCGGTCAGGGAGGACCCTCATCTTCAGGGTGCCGTCTGCTCCACAAGTGAAGATGCGGTTACCGGGCCATGTCTCCACCTTCATGACACCGGCACCGATGTTGCGAAAGATGGACTGCTTAGCATGCTCGTTGCTAAAAGAGTGCATGAGCCCATGGCCGGCTAACTTCCACACCTGTAGAGAGAGAAAGCAGCTATGGGTCAGAAATAATAGCAAGTTTTTTTTTTCTCCCTTCTTCTTCCTCTTCTTTGTCATTTTTATTACGTAGACCTTAGTACAACGATCATCAAATATTGAATTCTTTTTGAGTGCTGTGACATTTTTGTGGTTTAAAAATAACTGTACAGAACAAGTCTCTGTTCTTTATTAAACAGATTCCATTTCATAGCAATTGACAAATCACCATAATCAACATGAGCACAGAACTGGTGACACTAAACAGATTATTAATTATGGTAAATCATTCAGATATTTATTCATTATGTTAGATGAAAGAAGTACTTCAACAAAAAACACTTACAGCGTATTTGCTTTCCAGCATAGAATTTGATGAGAAAATTGATACCAGTGCCAAATGTTCTAGTTCCAGTTTCTCAAATGTGATGATTAAATGTGCAAACCAGATAGTAAAAATAATATCTTAGGGTTTTAGTTTTCTGGTCAGACAGACCAGGTCATTTTAAATGATCAGCCAGGCCCAGTGAATTAACAGAAAATATAACAGGAGATGTATTGTTAATAAAAAGAATCATTATTTGAAACCCCTGAGTCAGTATTCCATCTCAACAAGTCACGTTTAGCTACTTTGAATATGTCCAACATCAGTGCAAAGCTGCCTTAACCGTTGTTGAATAACCAACTGACTTGACTACCCACTCGGGACTGTGATACACACATAGTAAGGCTGTCCTGCATCAAGGCTAAAAGGACTAAATTATGTCATTGAAACTGATCCTGAAGTCACTTGACTATATAGTATGTAGATAATGTGGGATGGTTTTCTGATCTTACCAGGTAGGTCCTTACCTAATCACACATTAATCCTCAGGAAACAAAGTGTACCTGCAAAAGTTAATGTGTTTTAGCAGATTAGTGAGAGAGTGATGGAGGATGCGTCACCTTCACGTTGCCCTCTGCGGAGCCAGTGACGAAAAAGTCTTCAAAGGCATCCAGTGCGAGGGCCTTGATGGCTGAGTCATGGGCCTGGAAAGTGTGAAGCAGCTGCCTCTGGCGGATGTCAAACACACACACAAAGCCCTTTCGGCCTCCAGTGATCAGTAGCTGCTGTTTAGGAGCGTACTGCAGCACAGTAGCCCCATTCTCGTGACAGGGGAAAGCTGAAGGGGTGGGAGGGAAAAAAAAAAGATAGAGTGGTTCACAAAAAAAAAAAACTGATATAGAGGGGGAAAACCAATTCATCTGAAGCATCTGGAATTTCTTACCATGGACCATGGTATTGCTAGGTGAAATCAGAGTGTCCCACAGGCAAACATTTCTGTGGATATAGAGGGGAAAAACCAATTCAACCACATTTACTACTAGTTAGTCAATACAAAAAGAAAAAACATAGCATTGGTTTAATGGTGGCGTTACTGCAGATGCTGACCTGTTATCATTAGACTGTCCGGCCGTGGCGATGAGGCTGGAGGATGTGATGAAGGCAAAATCCCCACAGGTCTTAGTGTGGCACTGCCAACTCTGTAGAGTACATATCAATTACAAGGACTTTATTTACTGTAGTTTGAGCTTTCCTCGAGCTAAGGCTATGAAATGTGCATGCTGGGGTGGTGATTACGGATGCGGGGGGAGGTGGAAGGCGACCTTACTAGGTAGGGTTTCGGGTTGGAGGATGTCTGGTTGACCTGCCAGAGACTTAGGAAGCCCTCTCCATCAGCAACTCCACACTACAAGAAGAACAGAGCACAATCAGACCAAACAGACAAAATACAGCCATTGCAGTCTATGTCTTTGTGGACTATGTGTGTACCTTATTGCCCTGGGAGTTGAAGTAGAGCCGAGTGACTCTAGCATTGCCTGCTTGTCTGAAGCAAATGAGCTGCTGAGGTCTGTTCCATTCAAACATTCTCACACTACCGTCCTGAGCCCCCGTCATGTCTGACGCACAAAAATACAGAGAAATAAGGACAACACACAAAAATACAAGGGAGATGTATGGGGGAGGAGAAAAAGATACAGAGCAGGGGAAACAAACTCTCATACTCATGATGTTTTGTGCATAGACTTCAGTGTAGGCACTTACAATACTGATATATGGGGTGTGATGTCATTCTCTTAACATTGTTCAGATTCCTCTTCATAATCTAAAAACCAGATAAAAACAAAGCATTCATTTATTCCATAAACTGATGTCCAGATGTGCTACAGTTGTTGGGTAAAAACCTTTACCTATGTTCAGCAGAAAACATGATTTACCACTCATCATTTACTTTATTGATAGATGTTTACTGATACTCAGATACTGGCACATTATAACAAAAACTACAGGCTGTGGCCGCAAAGGTTTGAAGAATGATATGTTGAAAAAAATGTCAGTTGATTTCACTCAATTAAATTTCAACTGATCTCAGCATTTTCACTTAAACTGAAAGTTCAGCTAATTTTTCTGTTTACACTTCAGTTGCAATTTCATCCACTTTGAATAACTCGACGTCAGCTGCGTCTCCCATTCCTGCATATTTCAGTGGCCTGGTTATGATTTATCAGTTAGTCCTAAATATAAATACCGATTTGTTGTAACACTTATCCGGAACGGAAGCTGGAAGATGTCTTCGTGTGGCATTCTTCACTGCTGAATCATGCAATGCAATGAAAAGCTGCAGGTAATGCCAAGGTGTCTTGCATGGACTCCTCAAATATCCTGTTTGCAGCATACAATATGCTGCACATCTATCAGTCCAGGCATTAAATGATTGGAATCTAACTAGACTCCCCTGTACACTTAAAAAAGCCCTTCTAAAATTCATTGAACCTATTTGATACCCCCTGCCCTGTCTTGCACAGTGTATCACACAAGATTTATCAACACGGCTGGGACATGGAGAACCCTGGCTGTGTGTAAATGTGACGCAAATCTGTACCTTGGGTAGCCGGCCGTGGGAGCTGCTGCTATCTGTGTTTATATGCATCAGTCTCAGCCATGCTAACACACCTTATCTCTGTATCAGCCCCCACAGACTCAGCAGGCCATCTGTTTAGTCGTCATGGCTCAGTTTGGCTCAACAATGATAAAAAATTTAAAATACATACATCTTCTGAAAATATGCAGGGACTGGAGACTGCCGCACAAAATCCAAGAGACTTGGTGCCTTTTCTTCACATTTACATTTCGAACTATGGGTTGCTAATTAATTTAAAATCTATAGTGAAGCACAGACTGTCAGGAAATGTAGAAACTACACAGTCAGACTCTGCATACAGGCTCCAAAGCAAGAGCTTAGTTTCCCCCTGCTGGTAGTTACTAACAACTGCATATCCAGTACTGCCTGGTTTGACTGTGTGTGCACATATACACATATAAATCAATTTGTGGTTGTAGTGAATAGGCTCATACCACACTGGCGCCCATGCTAGTCTGTCCACTGCCGAGCCATGGCATGGATGCAGACACCTGCATCTGTGGTGGTGCAAAGGGGACAGAGCTAGCCTGGGCAATATTGGTATGAGAGGAACGATGGTCAATGTCGTCAGAGCTGTGAAACAAAACATAACCCATCAATCAGTGATGGTCTTTAAAGATGGTAAGTGTGCAATGTGAACTTAAACTGTTTGATTGTCTAAGATCTTACCTGTGGGACTCCTTATCAAAGTCCTCTCCTATCCAGGTGTAGGGCTGGACAGCCACTAGAGTGGACACGTCCACCTCCTGGACGTCATGAGTGGAGGCCAACACTATCTCATTGGAGTTAGCCTGGGAAAGGATGGAAGAAGGGAGGAGGAGAGAAAGAAGGTGGGAAGAAAGGACAACATTAACAGCTCCCTCTAAATTCCTAGAAAGGAACTTAAAGATGTTTCCTGGGAAGGATTGTGTAATTTGGTACTGTATCACAATGTTGTCTCTAGTTACCCTTTTTTATTACAAAATTACATGGTTCTTTCCAGGAATCATTAAATAATTAGAAAATTAAGGACTTGCAAAAATAAACCGTCTCTCAGTAATAATCTCTCTCTCTCTCTCTCACACACACACACACACACACACACACACGCTGTGTTTCCATCACTTCAGAGGACATTACACTGACTTACATTCATTTCCTGGACTCTTAACCATATCCACTACTTGTATCATCCTAACCTCACCCTAACCTTACAACAAATCATCATTCTAAGATTTAATGATTTGTGTGTTGAGGACTAGTTTTTTGCCCCCATAAGGATGTCGAGTCCCCAGAATGTGACTATGTAAAGAGGTTTACGTCCCCACAACATGAATAATACCAGGCCACACATACATACTTACCCTGTTGATAGAAAATGCCATGATTATATCAGACTCCTTGTGAATGATTTTAGCCTTCCCTCCTGGGTAGCCCAGATCTGCCTCCACCTGGAAAGGCAAAGAAAACCAATACACCAAGATTCAAGACACTTTAAAGTTACAGTGCTCTGAGACCACTGAATGAAATTTTGAAAAATTAATGTTTAGTAGTCCCCCCCCCACCCCCCAGCCGTGACAGTGAGCATGCAAGTTAGTAGGTTTACTGTACTACAGTATAGTGTATGTGGCAACTCTCTTAAAGGCTGCTTTATTTTGCTTTTAGGACCAGCGGAATGACTAGAGAGGAAAAAGGAGCGAAAAACCCAGAAAGACGTGCTAGTGGTAGGATGTGCTATGAAGCTATGTGAGTGAATGTCAAAGGTGTTCCAGTCAGAGGAAAACATCAGTCATAACATCTAAGTTTTGGAGCCTTGTGTAGATTTTGCAGCAGCAAAATTACCAGAGCAGAGCAGTCACTGTGAGACCAACCTGGAGAGGAGACACCATAGGCTTCACCCAGTTTGTTGCAACTGCTAACCATCTCCTACAAACTCAAACCTTGTACAACTGGTGTACAAGAGTTATAAAGCTTAATGCACTTGCTCCTTCAAGCCTGGTTTTACAGTGATTCTTCTAGACAGACAGATGGAAAAACAGAGTCAGGGCCTAGGCTGGTATGGTAAATGATACTACCTTATAGGGACTGCTAGCTCCTGCTATGCCATTTGGTTTTATATGGTCCATGTGGTTCTCTACACACTACACAACAGACATAGAGGCAACACAGACACAGAACACACCAACACGGCATGACACAAAACACATGCACAAACACAGGAAAATAAAACATGGGATGGAAACTTTAATGTGTCCTAGGTGATAAAATGTGAATAATTCGGTCTACCTCATTGGCATAGAGCTACAACCATGTAATAGGATGAATGGAGATATGCACTGTAGATCTTTCTGCTGGTTACTGCAGTTATCAAAGACTGAAATTAACATTGTAGTTTTAAAAAACTAAGCATAAACCCTAGGATTTTTGTCTAATTTTGTACTGACAGCTACAGTAGCAGCCTGTCATGATTAAACAATAAAGAACATTTAGAGACATCACAGAAGGCAGTGAAATGTCCTGTACTTGACTGGAGATGCCTAAAGAGCCAAAATAACGATAATGACAATAATAAAAAAACAAAAACAAAAAAACAGAAACACTGATAAATACTCAGAAAACACTAAGAACAGTGATGGATTTTAGATACATGGGTAAGACCTGGGTTTCACAATGCATCAGACATACTGAGGCAAAAGATCGAAGTATAACATGTCAGATAACAACCTGAAATAGATCATCATCATCTCCAAGCTTAAGTGTTTTAAAAAGCACAAGACTATGTGGACAGTGTGTAGATCCCTGTTTTCCATCCTTATTGGTAAGCTACTGTAGACATACTGTGGTGGACAGATTAGTAGAAATGTATTTGAAGCACACAGGCTGCTGACCTCACTCTGCTTCCTTTTCTTAGTAAAGATGTAACGGATGAAAGTGTCCTGAAGAACCTCCTGTTTGACCAGGAAATGCCAAAGACGTCGGGCTGGAAAGGACTGGTGGTTCTTTGTCCTGAAAAGAAACATATGCACAAACTAGGCTTAAATTATTTTAACATTGTAGTTTACCTTTTTATACAAATGCTTTAAATCATCCAGTTCTAGCATGTGTGTGTGTGTGTGGTGTGTGTGTGTGTGTGTGTGTATATTCATATACTGCATGTATGATGAGTGCGTACTCACTTGAAGGGTGTGTTGTCTGGCTCCAGCATGGCCTTGTGCCGGAGTATGGCAGGGCCACCTCCTGCGCTGAGGTCAGTGGGGTAAGTGTTAATGTAGTTGGGAGGCGGGCCGTCGAACTTGTTCATCAGCTCCAACAGAAGCTGCTCCCAGTTCTCTAAAGTCTTCAACACGGCATTGCTGAGAGGGGAAGTGACTGGCAAGTCTGCGACATAAACACATGTACATGTAAATATACAGTAGAAACTGTAGACAGACAACAGCACCACCAACAAATAGTTTATTTATTTATTTATATTTATACCAATTATTCTTAAACAATCCTAAAATATTTCAGTGCATCTTCATAAAGAATCAATCCTACTGTACATTAGATTTAAGGAGCTGCTTAGGGTCAAGGATGAGGTGAGTGCATACCTGTGAAGTCAAGGCCAGTGAGAGGGAGGAAGTTCTTGACATTGTGATGAGCCAGTTTGACCATTGCCAGGCGGATTAGAGCCCAGCTATGTAATACACAGACATGCAAAAGATTAAATTCTGATGACGTGCATGCTTAAACTGGAAGCAGAAAAGGAAGACAGGCCGGGGCCCTACCTGTAGGAGTTGGGGTTGGAGTGCTCTGTCATCTGTGTATCAGAAAGGAAGGCATCGTCATCGTCTTCATCATCTTCTGCACCGCTTTCATCGGAGTCATACAGAGCACTGCTGTCTGACAGTGGAAGGAAGGGCTGAGAGGGACAAAAGGGGGGGGGGAAGACAGATAGGGAGAGAGACTGAGGAGCAGCTTTTCTGTATCCTGAAGATTATAAACCAATCTCATTAGTCTAGTCTACGTATTTCGAATTCAATGCCTTACTTTGGCCACAAAGTAGTCCCACATGCTCAGCTCAGGGGGGATGAACTTCTCCCTGTAGGTGGGTCTCACTGCGGGCACAGGAGGCGGAGCGGCTGGCGTCTCCTTCACAGGGCGTCCGGGAACGAGCATCCTCATGTTGAACCTACGTCTGTATCGGTCCACATCCTCCGCTGGGGGCTGAGAGAGAGCTGCTGGGGGAGGAGAAGAATGAAGAGATGCTTTCTTACACTATGAACTCTGATAAGATCAATTTGCAGCACACTACAGTAGGCTGCAATTCTGTGGGGGATGAGCAGAGACTCGCAGTCGGTAAGAAGGTCAAGAAATAGGTCAGGAGGAAAAGAACTGCATTCACACCATACATAGAGCACAGTGTACTGTCTAAAATGAGGTTCCCTATCTGAAATATAACTGAGGTCAATGACTTTGATGAGTTACAGTTCATGAAAGACAATCAATACATTTGGAAAAGATGGATATAAATGCACAAAAACAAACATTTAAGATGGAGGCACAGGGCAAGACACACCAGATTATGCACAAACCTGCACCATTATCCTGAATGACTACCTCTGACATCGCACCAGACAAAGAACAATACACAAACCAGAACAGAGAGTGCGGTTAGACACTGAAAAAACATCAAACAATGATAGAAAATTTGTTGAGCAGTCAAGTGCTAAAGCTGTTACTTGTACCCACAATACTTGAGGACAGCAAACACAGTGAGACTGGTGAATGCAACATGTACTTTGTTTGAGAATTAGTCCTAACTCGAACATGACAGAGAGGAGTCAATAGGTAACATTTGTGTATAGCTGTGTGTTTGTGATGTGTATGTAAATGTTGCAGCAGTGGTCAAAAGGGCAGAGTTTTGACATTTGGCAAATTCCTATTAACAGGCTGGCATTTAAGAGCCCCTCTCCTCTCAACCAGGTCTTCAAAAAGGCTCCTGGCTTCGCTATGAGCAATCTAAGACTCTACACAGTCTTACACAGTCTGAATGCCAGCACATATTTTCATCCCCCATGATAGGAGCACAGTTTAATTTGGTCTGAAGAAAATAGAAGTCTGATGCAGACATACAGCTGAATCATGTGAAACAAGAGCTACTCTCTCTGTGATGTAGTTATTACCTCTACCACAAACGACCAACTCTGGTCCATTCACATTTTTTACAAATGTAATGCTACAAACTGAACAAGTAGTTTTGCAGTTCTAGCTCTACAGCACTACTGGATTAGAATGACAACTTCTCAAAGTGTACCTGGTGTAGTCTCAGATTCAGAGTTAGTCTCAGAGGGCTGTTCAGCCTTGGCCTCTGAACACTCCCTGCTAGGCTCAGTTGTGGCTTCAATGACACAATGAGACGGGCGTGAGGACATTACAACATGTACATGCAATGCAGCACACACATTGAGCACAAATACACACACAGCTGTAGGTTTATTAGAACACAGATGACTATGTCTTCATAGCACTAGTAGGCTTTGTTCTTTGTAATGGGCATTCAGTAGTAGCTGCACAAAAGAGAGAGGGGTAAGTCAAGCATCCGCAGCAATGCAAACCTGCACGATTACCATGCACTGCAATCCTGCAAACCAGCACTGCAACCCACCAGCACAGTTACTCACAGCTGGCATTAGTTGCTGGTGCCACAGTGCCCAACCCCTCTCCCCTTGAAACGAGAGGAGGGGGTCGTTTGGGTTTCTGGGTTTCAGTGGGGATGGGAGTGGGGTTTGGGGTGAGGCTGCTCTGTTCAGGTCTTCCTGTCTCTTCTTGAGACTCCTCTGGCCTGGCTGCCTCAAAATCAGCTGGCACTGGGACACAGGGCAGAGGGCACACTCACACAAGACACTACAGAGCAGCAGCATCTAAGGAGCATCAACAGGACTATGTAATCATGTAGATAGACCCAGAGGAATGGAAGTATTGCCTCAGATACATCTGAACAGAGATAAGTCAGGATGTAGAAAGCCGACACATGGAGAAGACAACAGCAAGAGCAGAGTTAAGGAATAAGGACAGTTAATGATGATCACAGGGGAAGACTTACGACAATAATGACAACAATATGATGGAAATTAATTGATCTGTAATTAACAACAGCATTAATAATCATCTACAAAAATAATTATTTTACCTGCTGGGGCTTCAGGCCTCTTTGGTTTAATTATGACTTTGGCCCCCCCTCCAAAGACAGCGGCCCACATGCGGTTGTTGAGAGGATGTGCAGCCAGGCGGAAGAGTTCATTGCTGTTGTGAGTGCCCAGGCCATGAATGAGCAGCGAAAGATAAACAGCCATGACGGCTTCACACAGCAGCACGTTGAGCCTCGGCTGGCCCTCCTCCCTGGCAGACGTCAACAGAGAAATCAGGGACGACACACCTGTAGTGAGAGAACACACATGCACACGATATCTGTGTAACAGATTAACCTGTAATTTTCAAAAAAAAAAAAAAAAAAAAAAAAAACTGAACCCATTTATAAAACATTCACATGATGCCGTGATCACCCTCTGTCTTTCCGTTACTTCCCAGAGGCCATGAAGCTCCTATTATAGAACACCATCTGCCTCTTCGCATAAACTGCTTTGCAGTCAGTCTGCTTTTCATATTCATTCTCAGTCATGTCTCTGATGAAGCCATTTTCTGTTTCTACACAGTTTGTAAGGATTATGGAAAAAGAGCTATCTTACCTTTAATCTCAATCTAATTTTCAAAGAATTATGACAAAAAATGGTGATGAAGAGTCAAACCCAGGAAGGAAAAATCATCCTTTATGCAAATTTATTTATTTTCTGCCTTAAGTATAAATTCAATCTAATCCCAAAAACGCCAGTCATTGGTGAAGCAGGGGATTTAATACCTGGCCACTGTGCAGGAGCAGAATTAGGAGTGATATGCTCTTCGATGCTTTCGGTGCGAAGTCGTTTCCTCTCACTGAGCAACAAGCCCTGGTACACCATCCCTGTAAACTGGTTGGCCTCTGTCTGGCTGCTGCAAGACCAACAACAGAAAGGTAAACTGAGTCACTGCCACATAAAAAAGTACATTTTATGATTTAACTTACAATGTTGGTGTCTTGAAACAGACACAAAAACAAACAAACAAAAAGCATTTATGGTGTGACAGTTTCGTTTTTAGGAAGGCAAAGTTAAAGAACACTGCACTCAACCAAAGACAAAACCAGAGAGTTAGGGCACAGGAAATGATCAGATGTTTTGTCTGTGCTGTTTATGCGTTCAATTTCCCCCTGTGCTGATACAGTATGTGATGATCTGAACTAAATAAATTAAAAAAAAACATCTCACTGAAGTGTGTGTGTGTGAAACCACCTTTTTGTGTTTTTGTTTTCAGGAAGACAAATAAAAATCTTGTGGGATAGTTGGATCATGGCACAGTTACCTGTAGCTGTGGCTGTCGCACAGTGCTTGATAGATGCAAGCAGACAAAGATGCTGCTAGTGTGTGTAGAGCATTCACCTGAGGGAGAAAGACATACATGTTTCATTAATCAACATGAAAGACTTCGGAGGACTGTGAGAAAAAGGCTGCGGATGGGGACACACACACCTAACGGTTTAACCGTTAACTGATGATAAGAATTCCAAACTATTAATAGTGAGTTAAACGAGGAAAAATCTAAACATTTCGCTGAAAAATAGGCTAGAGAGCCAACATATCATCTCATGAGGGCATGTGGTGTAAAGCTTATCGGACACACTGCCATTTTAATCTTGTCGGTTAATGGTCAGTTAATGGGCGTCGACTATTGGTCAGAAAAAAAAAAAAAAACTGAAAATGTGCATCCCTACTGCGGACTCTACTGTATACTTTGTCTATATAAAATTAGATTCTTATTTGAGTCTGGACCTGATCAACCATGATCTCAGGGTGTGGTGGGGCCTCCATGAGGATGGTGGTGTGGAGGATGTCGTGAATGTGGTTGCTGAGGTGGAGAACGGGATTGGCTATGACCGTCTTGGTGGGGGCAATGCAAGCTGACAGCAGAGGCAGCGTAGTAGGCAGGGGCAGAGGAGACTGCAGCTGCTTCACCGTGGTCTCCTACAGAGTGACACAGGAAGATGTAAATCTGCTTTTGCTCAGCTGAGATTGTGTTGCATAAATCCAGTAGAATACACTGTGTGTGTGTGTGAGTGTGTATGACTGCATGATCACCTGCTGACTCTCCTGCAGAAGAAACAGAAGCTCCATACGAACAGAGGTGACTCCCCCTCCCTTGGCTCCATGGAGGCTACAATAAGACAGAAACACCCTCAGCAGGGCCTGGTTCTTCCTCAGCCAAGCTTTGCGTCTCTCAGAGTGCTGCTGTTTGGCCTGAAGACGGCGTCGCTCCATTTGGTGACGCTCATAGGCCCCGGCCTCTGTGAGCTCTAGGGCCTCATCTGATATATCCACTGATGCTGTACGCTCTCCCCAGTGCTCCTCCTCTGAATCTTCTTCCTTTGCCTGTATTAAAATATTTAAGGTGAATAACCACAGTCACCCAGGAGCAGAGAAACACTGTTACCTTAATAGCTTGTACTGCACAAAATATAAAGTTGCACAGACAATATGAAATACAACATGTACCTTGTAGTTGCAGATCTTATGCATGGCTGCTATTTCCTTCTCCAGCCAACTGTAGAGCTGAAAGCGGAGCTTTCCTCCATCGACCTCAAAGCCTGTGGCCAGTGTACGCAGCTCTGTCATTAGGATCTTTAGACAGGCACGGAACTTCATCTGCTCTGCTATCACATCGACCTCGGACTCTCCCTGAAATGTGAATTAGAGAAAAGGCTCACATTTTGTAGACTTACTGACCTTAGGGGAGCATTCCAATGGATGTTTACGGATGTCCAAATTCATAATTCAAATGTACAGGGGGTCTCAAGCACACTTTCTACAAGCAACCAGAGTACATTCTGGGTGCAGATTTCACCAAGAGAAATCCATTTTTAAGCTCTATCTTTCAAATTGCTTATGTGAAATCCATTAAGAAGCTGTCAGAAAGAAAACCTATTCACATTATAGTGGCTTTTGAACACGTCTCGCCATTGTATGTGGTGCTACCATGGTGTGCGGCACAGAGCAGGAGTGCCAAAAGTTCAAGTTTGTTGAACTTTGACCTTGGTTGTGCTGACCATTGTCCACGCTGCCAATCACTGCCTGAATTGATGTGTGGTCTATTTTGCCCAGGCTGCACCTATACTAAGAATCTCGGGTTACAGCATGTAACCAATGTTTCTGCATTTCACAAACTGTACAGTAATTTATGATCCTCATATTGAGATCAGACAAAGACAGACAACATATTTAGCTAGCAAAACATCAGTACACAAGTGCTGCTACCAAGATCATTAAAAAAAAAAAAATTGCTTGAGCCTCTAAAACCTAGCGATCTACTGAAAGCAACATTAACACTGTAGCTAAGAAATGTTGTTTTGTATAGCGCCCTCCCGAGACCTTATACTTGAGTTTCTCCGCCAACCAGCACAGAATGCGCGGCGCAAAACCCGTTTTTTTCACTGAAATGTCAACACGCCTTTAAATGGTTTACACAGCTAGGATATTAGCATTGCTCATTACCATGGCAACAATTGGGGTCTCACAGAAAGTCTCAGCTCCCTCTTCTAAGATATTTCACCCCCGCCAGTCCAATTACTGCCTGAGAAGTTAAATCACAGTGAGCAGAGATATTATTCCTACCTGCGAATCCTCTCTCTGCAGTTTGGGCCCACCATTGTGTGACCAGCCCTCTGCTTTCTTCTTGGGCTCAGATTTCTTCATAGTTAGACCATCATCCTCATCCTCATCCTCATCATCCTCCTTGTCATCCTCCCAGTCCAGCTTCAGCTCGTCTTCCTCTGCCTTGACCACTGGCTGGCTCCAGTCCAACATTCCCTGGATGCCATTTTCCAAGGGCTGGCTTGAGTTTAAGTTGGCCTTGGATGAAGCTTTGCTGAGAGGTGAGGAACCAGATTTCTTGGTAACTTTTGGAATCTTGGAGAGCACTTCCAGAGATAGAATTGGGCAGCCCACCTACACAAGATGTAGATATTAGGGATGGGCATTAGAATTAGTTTTAGGTCAAATAATCAAGCCAGTTTAAGTTGATTATTCGAGTAGTAGTGACCATCACCATGATCTCATCACTATCACATGCCCTCCTCAAAACAAACAAAACTATGTGACCAAGTGAGGGAACCCCAGGTATCATTACATTTTTTTTTATATAGCAGTTTTGTTCCTGTCGTTTGCTGTCACATTAACATTTAAGTGCAACAAATCCAGTCATTTTTTGTCATCACTCCATTTTGTCTTTTTGCTGCTGAAGCTCAAAATGTTTGTCCTCATTATGCTGGTAGAACTGTGGAAAGATAAGCTTCATCCCACATAATGAGCACTCAGCTGTGTTGTCCAATTGAATAAATAGCACACAAGCACAGATGGCAGTGTCATAAACATCAGTCTTGCTTCTCTATAATGTAAAAAATACATCTCCAAAAATGATTCAATTACTTTTTCAGTATTCAATGATATTGACCTTTTCAACTAATTGAATAATTGACTGCTCATACATATCCCCAGTAGATAAGATAAAAACCATGTTTAAACACTTGCAGCAGCATATACCGTCTTCATATTTGCTTTTGTAAATAACATTTTATCATACTTTAAAACAAGTGTAGCAGGAGAGGCAGATAAAAGACAGTCCCGACCGGATTGGAGTAAGTGGCAATACTATTGATGTGTCCACCTTGAAATGTGCATTGGCAGTGGTGAAAAACAGCTTGCGCTCTATAAGGTTGATCTCATCTGCGCTGCTCTTCTCAGCAGTGAGGCCCACAGTTACTGCTGTGTCTTCTGGATTTGCAAAGTGACGACGAATGATCAAAGGGTGAGTTCTCAGGTAGTTGTAGAAACTAAACACCACGGGGTTGCAAGATTTCACCATCACATCTAACACACAGGGATAAAGAAAAGGGAAAAGAACATAAGCTTTTAAGCATAGCACACAATACAAATAATGAGCACAGCAAACAGTGTTTAGTAGATCTATTCCCAGTCTTGTGATCGTGTATTACTAGGGGTGTAACGGTTCAACAATTCGTTCGGTTCGGTTCAGACCTCAGTTTTTTGAGCCATGGTTCAGTTCATACTTTGTTTTTTATGGATTGATGAATGAGAGTAAATGGGGAACATTTTTTAACAGTTTGGAACAGTAAAGGGGAGAGGACAAGCATCATGTAGTAAGCAGTGGTTAAATTATGCATGATGATTTGTAGAAAAATATAAAAAAAATATCAGGACATAAATTATTTTCATAACTTTTAATAACAATCTAATTGTAGTTTACCCAATTTGTACTGTGCTTTCGGGTTCAGAACCATCACACCCTATGTATTACTGATCAAAATGTCTGCAAACAACTAACCAGGGTTCTCATCATCCTCTTTAGGGATTCGCTCCAGCAGCGTGTCCAGGGCACGGGTGTAATCCTTCATGATCCAGTAGGCTATGCTGCGGAGGAATGGATCAGGGTGCAATCTGGAACAGTGGTAACCACTTCCGTCCCTATTACAGCCCAGAACCTTCTCATAAAGGAGGCCTTGGCAAGTAGATGAATTCTCAAAGTCAGCCTCATATAGTCTCGCCACTATCATGGCTAACTGGAGGTCCTCCATCTTCTCCATCAACACCTACACAGCAAGCAACAGCGGAGGAGTGGTGACACTGGGTTACAACTAGTTTATTTAAAAAATTAAGTAAGTAAGCATTAAAGTGCAGAAATGCAAAGCAAAATTAAGGTAGTAATTATGACAGCCACCAGTACAGTAAGCCTTTTCTTTTATTGGCTTTTTTTCTTCCTACATATTTTGACTATGCATCACAGAAACTCATACCAAGGCAAACTTTACATGCTTTGAAATGCATCTTAGCAGTATAATTTAGACGTCTCGCATGTGATTTAAATGCTGCAGAACATCCAGCTCCATCAGCAAGAGATCTGAATGATGAGTGATGTAGTGATTTAACTTTCTTACAGACCTTCAACCTCAACAATGCGTTTCCATAAATAAAGACTATGCCAAGTGTGAGGGAAATCAAGATGAAGTGTTGGAGCAGTTTCCACAGTAATTAGCTCTGTCTGTGTCTTGTGTGTTGTTTGTGTCATTCACACCTCTATGGCGTCTTTGAGTGATCCAGCCAGTAGGAAGAAGGCAGCGGACTGCTCAAAGCGCTGCTTTCCCAGCAGGGAAAAAGCATTTTTCAGAGCCGCCTTTCGCCAGCGGTCTTCAGTGAAGTTGTTCTTGAAGAACTGAGTCATCTTCTCATCATGCTGAGACCTGATAGAAGCAAACCACTCAGCTCAATATTCCATGAAGGTTTTGTAGGAATCATCACTGAAATGAAACTAATTCAATTAAAAAAATAATTATGTGCTGAGAAACAGTATCTTACCTAAAGAGTCCCCACAGGACAGCTTTCTTCTTCATGGCCAAGTAGAAAAGAGCAGCATCTAAAGGGTCGTTGTGTCTCTGGAATGCAGCTTTTCCCAACTGATGACACACAAACATAAGTGCACTAAGAATTAAAACACTAACTATTGCAGATGCCAGTACAATGTTCCCCTTATTTAGCTACCATTAAATTGGTTTTATGTCTTTTTGTATTTTATTGTGCTCTTTAATCCTTTGTAATGATTTTATCGTATTTGTTTATGATTTTATTTATGTGTATGAAGTAGTTTGGCCAACACGATGTTTTTAAAGTGTTATATATTTGATTTGAATTCACACCTATGTAAATTGTGATCTCAGACAGGTGGCTGGGTGACAGTTCGCAAGAGTCGTAGCTCCAAACGAATGTCCACGGAGCATCACCTGCCTGTTCACGTTTCAAATCAATTTTCCCCACTCAGCGACACACCCGCTGAGAAAAACAACTCTGGTAATTGGAGACTCCATAGTCAGAAACGTGAAGCTAGAGACACCAGCGGCCATAGTCAAATGTTTTCCTGGGGCCAGAGCGGGCGACACTGAATCCTATTTGAAGCTGCTGACTAAGGATAAGCGTAAATACAGTAAGGTTGTTATTCACGTCGACTCCCGACTTCGCCAGTCGGAGGTCACTAAAATTAATGTTGAGTCAGTGTGCAACTTCGCTAAAACAATGGTGGACTCCGTAGTTTTCTCTGGACCCCTACCCAATGTGACCAGTGATGACATATTTAGCCGCATGTCGTCATTCAACCGCTGGCTGTCTAGGTGGTGCCCAGAAAATAACGTGGGCTTCATAGACAACTGGAAAACATTTTGGGGAAAACCTGGTCTGATTAGCAGAGACGGCATCCATCCCACTTTGGGTGGTGCGGCTCTCTTATCTAGAAATCTGGACGAGTTTGTTTTACAACCTAAATTATGACAACCCAGAGTTGAGTCCAGGATGCAGGGTCGCAGTCTTACACGCCTCTCTGCTGTCTCCTTGCAGCTGCTACCCACCCAACGCTCCCAGTACCCCATAGAGACTGTGTCTGCCCCCCGCCCACCTAAATTATATAAATCAAGAATCAACTCCAGAGGAGTTATTCATAAGAACCTAATTAAAATTAAGATGACTCCTCTTATAGTAGAAAGTAATAGGACAATCAAATGTGGACTATTAAATATCAGATCTCTCATCTAAATCTCTAAGCCTATTAATCAACCCTAGACCTAAACATAGTTATAACTCATTTGAAAGTCTCACCCTGAGTCTCTCACACCCAAACTGGAAAACTCAAAAGCCTGTTCTGTTTGTTATTGTATACCGTCCACCTGCTCCTTATTCAGAGTTTTTAAGTGAATTCTCAGCCTTTCTGTCTGATTTAGTGCTTAGTACAGATAAAATAATCATAGTAGGCGACTTTAATATTCATGTAGATGCCGACAATGACAGCCTCAACGGTACATTTATGTCATTATTGGACTCAATTATCTTTTCTCAAACTGTAAATAAACCCACTCACTGTTTTAATCACACTCTTGATCTTGTTCTGACATATGGCATCGAAACTGAACACTTAATAGTTTTTCCCCATAACCCTCTTCTGTCTGACCATTTTCTAATAACTTTTGAATTTCTTATTATGGATTATACTCTATGTAGGAAACAATTCCACTACAGCAGATGTCTATCTGGCAGTGCTGTTACCAAGTTTAAGGAAATTATTCCGTCTTTATCTACTTCAGTGCCGTTTGCCAACACAGTGGAAGGAGGCCACCTTAACTTTACTCCCACACAAGTCGATAATGTTGTTGATAGTACTGCAGCCTTCCTGCGTAATACACTTGATACCATTGCTCCTCTGAAAAAGAAGGTAGTGAAACAGAGGAGGCTAGCCCCGTGGTACAGCTCGCAGCTCCGCTCCCTAAAGCAGGCATCACGAAAAATGGAAAGGAGGTGGCGCTCCACTAAGTCAGAAGAGTTTTTCATAGCCTGGAAAGATAGTTTAATAACATATAAGAAAGCCCTTCATAGTGCCAGAACC